AAGCGAGGACACCTGCCTGCTGTAGGTGGGAACTCTTTTTTGCCTTTTCCTTTTCTGTTTCACCTCTTTCCTCACTCCTGCCTTAGGTCATAGGACTCTTGGGGCTTGGAACTGAAGTCAGCCCATTCTGAGGATCAGTGCAAATAAGGGCAGTCGTTAAATACTGACCTCCACTGAACTTTGAATAGGATCCATTTGCTGAGCTTTTTGCACTTGTCCTTCTTAATTTGACTTTGTTGAGGCCAGAGAGATAGCTCAGTGGCATAAGCGCCTTCCTGGCAAGTACAAGGTCCTGAGTTTGATCCCTGGTACTGCAAAAAGAAAACAAAACAAACAAACAAACAAAAAAAACCCAAACCCAAACTAAACTAAAACCCCCTCTAATTTGACTTTGCTCAGCCCATCAAGTTATTACCATCATTATCTGCATCTTACAGGTGAGGCCTACACAAGTCCAGAAACCTGCTTAGGGTCACGCGACCCTTCATGGTGCCCTACACACACTCCATGGCAAGTGAGGGCTTTTGGATTTCATAGTTCGTGTTTAAAGTCGAAGACTGGGCTGCTTCTCATGAGAAGCAGCCTGGATATCTTGTTCCTTGATGTTCCACTCATGTCGGCCTGAACTTTCTGGATTTGAAAACCTGCCGGAGCTGTGGAGCAGCCAGCCGTCTCTGAGGGAAGAACAACTATGAGGCCAGTGCATGAGTGTGAAAGGAAGTGCTCTCTTTCTTGCTGTCTGCATTGTATTAATTTTCTTCCCCAACACAAGATCCCAAACCAGGGCTTCAAACAGCAGAAGGGTGTTCTCTCAGAGCTCTGGAGGGAAGGTGGTACCAGGGTTGAAATCGAAGTGTGGCAAGGTTGGCTTCTCCTCTGGAGGCTCTGAGGGATGAGCCATGGTACGTCTTTCTCCCAGCTTCTGGCGGCTCAAGAAGTCCCCAGCATTCCCTGGCTGGCATCTGTGTCACTCTAGTGATTACCTCCAAGGTCACATGGCATTCTCCTTCTGTGTCCCTGCATCTCCAATCTCCTTCACATGAGAACACCGGACATCGGGTTTAGGACTCAACCCAACACAGTATGACCTCAACTTCTTTTTTAATTTTTAATTTTGAAATATAATCTTAGACACACAGAAAGTTGAACATAGAACAGAGAGGCCTTGTGTAACCTCCACCCAGTTTCTCCTAGTTGTTATTTCTTATTTAATTAAAGTACAACATGAAAACCATGGCTCGGATGCTGGTGCAGTATGTGTATATATGTACATCATTTTTATCATATTATCTATACCTATATGTAGATAGATAGATAGATAGATAGATAGATAGATAGATAAGATACAAAATTATTTCAGGACTTCCCTTGAAAAGATCTCCCTTGAACTCATTTATGGTCATATCCATTCTCCTTTCCTCACTATTCCTGCCTCTGGAAACCAGTAATCTGTCTTCCTGCTCTATAATTTTGTCGTTTTAAAATGTCCATAGAGGGGGCCTGCCCCTTAGCTCAGTTCTTTAAGTGGCTGCTTCAACAAAGCAGTCAGGCTCAGGTTGCTGTGGTTCGATCCCCACAACACAAGACAGCCAGTCATGCCTTGAAGGCATTCGGAGTAAAAAAAAAAAAAACACTTCTGCCATTTTTTCCTATAGGAGACAGATTCTCTGCTGTCTGTCCTGTGGAGTGGGAAGGTAGTGGCATGGGTGGAGTGTGTGTGTTCTTTTTTTCCAAATCTATTATAATGCTCATTAAACACTTCTGTAGCAAAGATGGTGGTGGTTCTTTTGTTACTGAAGTTGCCCTTCATCGTGGCTATTTGAAAAGGAGATGTACTTGAACGTTTCTGTAAATCTTGAGATGAACTGTTAACCACCTCTGATGGGGGATCAACTCTATGTAAATTGTAAATAAGTTTTATTTATAAACCTGGCACTGTATTCAATAAACATTTCTGCAGCCTTTCATCTCTAAAAAAAATAAAAAATAAAAAAATAAAATGTCCATAGAAGCAATTACAAGATACGTGATTGCATTTTTTTCCTGAGTACAATCCCCTTGAGAATTATCCAAAACAATGCATGAATCTTTATCTCATTCTTTCATATTGCTTCATAGATTCCATGTTATACACATATAACAGTTTGTTTGACTAGCCACCTATTGAGGGACTTATTTTTCCCCTTCCTTTTAGCTATTAAAATAGAGCTGCTAAAACCATGAAGTATAAGTTTTTGTGTGGACATCAATTTTCGTTTGTTGGGGGGTACATGGCAGGTGTATTTTTTTTCCAGAGGTAGACAATTTATTCTCAGGAGCTGTTCTATCATTTCGCGTTCCCACCAGCAACGCGTGAACAATCCGGATCGCTGCACCCTCAACAGCATTTCAGGATGATCTCACTTTGGTTCGATTACATCCGCAAAGCCCCATTTTCCACACAGCGTCACATTTTTGGAGAACCTGGCCTTAGGAGTTGAATGTAGCTCCCCGCTAACATATTTGGTACAGGGTCTCACTTTGTAGTTCAGACTCGTAGTGATCCTGCTGTTTTCAGCCTCCCCAATGCTGGGTACAGGCCTGTACCACCACGTCCAGTCTGTGGCCAGTTAAGTGCACCCTGGGGCATGGCCTGCATGGCATGTGGTGCTGGGTTTTGAACCCTGATCCCTGCACTTGCCTAAGTAGGCACTTAGTCCACTGGGCTATCTCGCTGGCCCTAGAATTTACCCTTTTGAGGAAGACAATTCAGCCCACATGACCTGCCTTCTCTTGCTTGGGCTATAGTGGATCTGGCTTCAGGCTCACTTCTCAGGAGGCTTGCTTTGGATTCCCAGCCAGATTAGAGGTGCCCTTGCTGTTCTGTTTGGCACCCAAAGGTGGGTGAACAAGCTCATGTCATTTGAAGGGACATTACTGAGACTTTCTAAGCTCCACGCAGGCTTCCAAAGTTTTGATAATAGCAAATATTCTTTTTTTTTTACGGTACCAGGGAAACAATTATTCTACTGAGCTCTGAGCTATCTCCCTGGGCCTGCAAATATTCCTAAGAGACAGGAAGGCAAAATGCCTCCCATCCAGGTTTTCTGTGAATGTCCTCCTCAATGCTCCAGTACTGACAACACAAAGAAAATAAGGCCGAGAACACTGGATTACAGGTTAGCAAGGGAAGTTGCTTCTGCAGTTCTTCAGCGTGTAGGCTAAGAAAGGTGCTTAGCAGATGTGTGTTGGGGGGGGGCACCAGCCCAGGGCCACATAGAAGGGGGAGGCTACTTGGTGTCATACACAGCTCTCCCTACTCCCCACAAATCACCTGTCACACTTGGGTTTCCAGGACCCGGACAAAGCTACTTCTGCCCTTTCTGCCTTTGCTGAAGGGGTGCTCCATTCTATTTTTATACATGTGTGCCTAGCTAGGGGGATGGTGGAGGCACCCCCGGCGGAGTGACTGTTCTCTGACCCCGTGCTGCACAGCACCTGGAGCTCTGGAAGGCAGTGTGTGTGAGGAGGCTTGGGACGGCAGGCTAGGCTAGTGCAGATGTGGCCTTGGGGCCCTGCTGATCTCTGGCCTTGACCTGTGACTTGTCCCTCTCAACATTTCTTACGTATAAACTGGGTATAAGACATTTTTATTTACTTTTTCCCATCATCTTATTGAGAAATAAATAGCAGTGAGACAGTTTCAAATCAAATTGGTAGGACAGTTCCAATAATTAACACATTGCATACTGTCTTCCTAGTGGTTATTGTTGTACAACATGCAGACCTGATATCCTATTTACAGACATTATTAGAACAAATCCCTCTATTCATTGAATTAAGAGAATGTAGCTGTATATCTATTCTAACCATTTGAATACACAGATACAAAATGGTCATTCATCTATATTCCCTTTTTTTTTGTTTAGTTCCGTCATTTAAATATTATAGGTGTGTGATTTTTTTTTTTTTTAAATTTTTTTGGGCAGAACCTGGGATTGAACTCAGGCCCTTGCGCTTGCCAGGGAAGCACTTATTCCACTGAGCCATCTCCCCGACCCTAAGACATTTTTATATGAGCTCATTTTAAAGTCATGTAGGGCGTAGACAGACATGTAGAGAATGGCACAGATGCTGCCTATACAGCTGGATCTGTTTTCACAAAGTGGCATGCCCCACACGGAAGAGCAGAGAATTATCAAGCCGCCAAATGCCCTTCTTGGTCTCCTCCCAGGACTACATCCCTCACCCCAGCCATGCCTCACCCCCTTCCCAATTTCTGACCTCTTCTGTTGTTAGTAGGCATTTTGGCATGCCCAATTTTTGGCTTCATAAGTAAGAGCTCTGGGACATTGTTGCCTACTTTTTTTTTTTGTGGACAGGGACACTTAGTCATTTAGGAGTGGGATTTCTGGATATAGAAAAATGCACATCTTTTAGCTTTGTGGAAACTGCCCAACACTTCAGTGAATATATTTAACCTTATAGTTTGGTGAGAATGAAAGTAGATTGTAGAAAATGCTCAACAGCATCATGGTCAGCTAAGAGTCACCCCTCACACTTAAAAATACAGCGAAGGCCCAGTGTTCCATTAGGTCCAGGGCTGTGCTGGCCTCAGACATTTCTCTACTGCCTGTTCGTTTAGATTGTTTTCATTGTTTTACTATTGTGTATCAGTTACAACTCTCCTAGCTGATTTCTTCTTTTGAAAAATGTGCTGTTTGTTCAGGGTCAGCTCAAATGGATCAAAGGACAGGTGACTGTCACTGTTAAGGACTGTGAAATATCCCAAGGAAGGGGGAGCAGGGAAGGGAGTGGCCAGGGGAAGAATGTATCAAGAGGGGGCAGGTGGTCTCCAGGTGGAGTGTCGTGTAATGGGCAGTAGGGTAGGGTAGGATGGAGGATGATTTTTATAAATGGTGGTACATTTTAGGACAATGATATACCTAATCCCTTAGACAAGAAATGAGGTAATAGTAAAAACAATGTAAAACTTTAAAAAATGAATCAGGAGAGGGTTCTCAGGTGCAAAGATTCACTTTATTCATAGTGTCCCCCAAGTATAATTAAAGCCAACGAGGGGGACAGGGGTGGTGGTGGAGGGGGGCGGAGGATAGTGCCAGGGCAGGTCTCACTGGGAAGGGGTGGGACATCTGAGGAGGAAGCTCAAGGCTGGGTGGGCCCCGGGGAGGGGGTGGGGCAGGGCAGGCAGTAGTGCCTGTTGGGTTCTGGCTCTAACACTCATTCCTGTTGAGGGTCTTGACTTCGGACTGGCCAGAGTGGGTGACCTCGCAGGTGTACAGGTTGTGCTGATTGTACTTCGCAGCGGTCAGCGCTAGGGTGCTGCTGAGGCTGTAGGTGCTGTCCTTGCTGTCCTGCTCCGTATAACTGTTCTGGATGTCTTGTGTGTAGTCAGTGCCATCCACCTTCCACTTGACGCTGATGTCTTTTGGGTAGAATTTGTTAACGAAGCACACAAGCGAGGCGCTTCCAGATTTCACCTCCTCAATTGATGGGGGGAAAATGGAGACGGTTGGTTTTTGTACACTCCCTGAGGAAGGAAGCACAGAGGGTGGGTTACAGTCACTAGGCAGGAATCTTCTTGGGTGCATGGGGGTGGGGTGCTGGACACAGACACATAGAGCAGCACACCTCTCAGGCACAGAGCACAGCAGGATAGGACGCACATGGAGCTCTTCCCTAGTTCCCTCTCCCCTTAAAAGTTTAGATTGTGCTTGAACTCTTTGTAGCTCTTCAGAGGCCTCTGCCTGCTTTTCTGACCTCATCTTTCTTTGCTTCAGTTGTGTTCCCACCACCTGCAGTGGCTCAGTGCTTCAGGCAAAGAAAACAAGCTCTGTAGAGCTTAGACATCAATGCGGGTCTGCCTCCTGCATACAGGAGAAGACAGCAGCAGGAAGTGGCTCACTTCCAGGCCCTCCCCCATGACAGGGCTGCCACGTCAAGCTCCCCTGGGCATCTCCTGGTGTGGCGGGAACAGCTCCAATCTCTGCACCTGTGCCTCACTGGGTGTCAGCCCCCTCTGGGATTAGGCCAACTCTCCTGCTGCTCATGAAGCCCTGAAAGTGGGCCCCAGCCCCAGCCTGATATCTGTGACCACAGGGGAAATTTTTAGCCAGGCCAGAAGGGTCAACTGTAACTGTGGCCACCTGCCTGGGAGCCTGTGGCCACCTGGCTAGCCTCACTTCTGACCTTGAGCAGCTGCCAGGTGGCCTCCTGGAAATCCCCCTCTGCAGTAAGCAATCCCTCAGGTGGGAAAACAGTCATTAAATAAAAAACCAAGACTCCGTTGTTAGGAGAAATCAACAGTACATGAGCAGTTTTTAAAAAATAAACCCAACCTCAAGTTTAATCTACAAGTTTAACCTAAGACTCTGCATTTTTATTTTTGAAGTTTTGGTTCTCTTTAAAACTTTATCACTAATTTTTCCTAAATAATTAAATAAAGTAAGCTTCACACCAAAATTATGTGATCTCTGGAAAAAAAGCAGAGAAAAAGTTTTATGAAGTTCCTCCTATGTGGGTGAATTCTTGACAGATTTAAAATTTCCATCTGGCGCTAAAATATTTAACCATTACATATTTAATCCAGAAATTATTTCAAGTCCTCTCATTAGCTTTTAATTGAGTTTAAGATTCTTTAAAAGAATTTGTAGAAGACCCTGAAATAGTTTTTAAAATAATTTAAAGCAGTCAAATACTTCTAAAAATGGTTTCAAAAAATTTTTCAAAAGGTCTTAAAATAGTCCTAGCAAGTTGTTCAGACCAAAAAAATCTTTCTCAAGTATCAGTTTTGAAACCAAGTGGGAGTGAGAAATACACTTACAACAGAGAAAAATTATTAGGCTATTTAAGATATTATGAGATTTTAAGTAGCAAGATCATACTTTTTCTCATAGAATTAGAGTATTGAAAAATACATTTATATTATTTTGATTAATCACATTTACATATTAGATATTCTGTAGAACTCAATACAATCCTACCCAAACAGTTAAATTTTTGAAGATTAAAAATATATTACAAAAAATATATATATTACAACTTTTTATCAGTTACTGTTCCATAATGAGATTTGGTATGAACTCACCAAGTGAACTGCCCAAGACCTGCGTAGCTACATCGCTGGCATTAAATCCAATGTTTGCTGGTGTGAATTTCATCATGAGGAGTTACAGACAGAACTTTTCTTTCTCTTATTATCAAGATTTTATTATTTAGGGGAATTGGATGAAATGCTATCTCACTAAAAATAGTTTTCTTATTGGAAGTCTCCATTAAAGGGTATAATAACAGATGTGAAGTTTAGTTTTGCAATCTTTAATAGATAAGCTTCTTCTTGGCATTTCCCCTGTTAGCGCAGGGCCTACCGCATGGCTAGTCTCTTTGTTAGCGACATTGTTCGTATCACTGTGCGCTAGGAAGGTTGGCCGCCGCACAGTTACGCGGGCTAAGGCGGGATTGCCGAGGCCTTTAGCGGTCAGGCGAAATGTCACAGGGCTGCGGTGGCACCGCCAGCGGGATTACTGAGCCGTGGCAAAGACTGCCACGGCGTCTACGGACCACGCTAGCGGTTACTTCGGCCTCCTTAGCGGTATGAAAGTACAGATAAGTAATAACTGGGCAAAATTAAAGAACATATCCTTTCACATTTTTCCCTCCAAGCCCACAGGGGCATCCTAAAATTATATTTAGTTTTGTACTTTCTTTGAAAGTCTCTCTGAAACTAAGCTTTCCACCATTAAGAGATCATTTTAACTTTACCTTCATGTAGAAATTAGATTTTTAAAAAGGAGTTATCTAACAAGATCTACTAGAACCTCTCATTTTGACCAATTATATTTATTTATTTATTTATTTATTTATTTATTTTTGGTACTGGGGATCAAACTCAGGACCTCGCGCTTGCCAGGCAGGCGCTTATGCCACTGAGCTATCTCTCCAGCCCTATCACTCATTTTAGACTCTAAAAATGACACTGCTACTAATTCTTCAGTTAGCCATCTCTTTTATATTGTAAACAACTATGTCTTTCTAACCTTTTAACTGATTTTTTTTTTTTTTTTTTGGTAACATGCTGTTACTTTTAAAAGTTGTCTCATAAAATGATCAGGCAAAGGAGAAAACTGACTAAGAAACACATTCAACTTTTCTATTTCATTTATAATAAACAGAAACAATACACTGTTTGGTAAAACTCAATATAACTGATACCTCCAAGTCCCCCTTTCATCTACACCACGATGTTTTTCTTTTACTCATTCAGCTCAGCCCAGTTTGATCTCATTGTCTCCAAATTTACTTTTGGAGCTGAGTCTAATTTTTGGCCCTGAAAATAAACCTGGAGAGCTTCTATCCCATCACCATAGAACTCCTCCTTAAGCCTCAGGCCAGTACGCCTGCCAATTTAGACCTAAATTTCAGCATGTGACGCAGAACAATTACTTACCTTCAATCCCTGGCTTGTTCACTGCTGACGGTGAGCCACAAGATTATCTTTTTTTTTTGGCAGAACCGAGGATTGAACTCAGGCCCTTGCGCTTGCCACGGAAGCGCTTATTCCACTGAGCCATCTCCCCGGCCCAAGTCACAAGATTAGCTTGCTGGCTATCCCCTCACAACCCTCTTTTTCTGTTGACCTCGCAGCATTGACTGAGGCGACCTGGCACTTAGGGCCCCATTCTTCAGCCCTTCTCTCTCATTTTGGTAATAAACCCACATTCTATCCAGAATTCATATCCAAACATAAAATTTACCAAATCTTATAACTCTATAAGAAAAAGGATTAAAAAATGCACTTACGTTTGATCTCCAGCTTGGTCCCGCCACCGAACGTGAGTCACAGTGGTGACTGAGACTTCTACCCCTCAACAAAAACCTGTCTTTGTGGCTCATCAGACCAGGCTGGCCAATTCGGACAAAACCGGCCATTTCTTTCGCATCCTCCCCACACGTCTTATTCTCCTCACAAACCTAACACTCTATTTGTTCAGATTTTAAATTTCTTTTTTTCTGATATTCTTCTACTTACTGTTGGGTCTCCAGGAATGGTTCATTTAACCAAGATAACCACCAACTCATACGCATGGTACAGCAAGATTAAAATGTCACAAAGAATTGAGCCAAAATGCACTTACGTTTGATTTCCAATTTGGTCCCTGCTCCGAAAGTGAATCACAATGGTTCCCTCTAACTTCTCCCTTTTACAAAAACTTCCCTAGGAGGCATCAAGTCTCCTCTCCAACTAAGCTATTTTGCTGTAAAAATCACAAGACCTGGCCACAGGCAGCCTCCTGGGGAGCAATTGTCCCCCCTCAGGACCTAATCTGGGAATGCAATTTGTACATCCTGGACATCAGTCTAACCAAGAAACACAAAAGGCAAGGAAAAGCAAACTGGTCAGACAGAAACAGTAAAGCTTCAGTTGGAAAAGATACTTACGTTTGATTTCCAGCTTGGTCCCTGCGCCGAAAGTGTACACACAGTGGTTCCTCTTACCTCCCTCCTATACAAAAACCCAGTTTCCCTTCCTGCCACTGAGCAAGGCTGTGCCTGCAGCCCACTACTGTGCTCCCAGGAAATTTTTGAAACTATTGCTTATAAAAATGACTTGCACTAAATGACTCACTCTTGCTCTTTAGAAAATGCACATTCGATGCTCAGAGTTTGCTTATAGACTTCATCTTTTGTGGCACCCTTGAGAATGCCAGAACCTGGCTTCAGAATCAGTTAAGAAATCACTTCATACACACAGAGACCAAGAGACACAGACAACAGAGGAAGAAGAGTTTGGATTCTACTTACGTTTGATTTCCAGCTTGGTCCCCGCGCCGAACGTCCACCACAGTGGTTGCTCTTCATTGACTCACCGTACAAAATCCCTTCTCACTGAAGAGGAACAGACCCGTGGCTCAGCTGCTAGCACTTCAGCCCTTTTCTGAGCAGGTGTGGAAGGCTCCGGGCTTCTCTGGTAGTGTTTGTTTCCTTAGGTGAGATCTAAAATTCCATAAAATGATAGTTGTTATGGATGATGGTTCCTTTCTTCAACAGACTACCACCTCTAGCCTGGTTGCTATTCATTTATTTAACACATAAGCTCAATTTACGTTATAAAGACAACCAGACAAATTTAAAAATAACCATTTCTTTATACTTTCTCCCAAGCTTTATTTAGTTACAACTATGAAATTCCTTCTTCCCTCAGACAAGAAGTATAGAATGTCTTCCTATTTGAACATCTTCTTTGTTTTGAATTGTTTCAAAAAAAATCAGATTAAGTATAGATCAAATCATGGCTCATAGCTTTGAAATGTATTTTGAAACTGAGGTATATATTACCTGTGGGGAAAGAATGAAGAATGACAGAGGATCAAAGTAGACTTTACTTGGAGAATTGGTCTATTTTCACTGGACAAGTAGCACTTAGGTCTCACTGAGCTGAACCATGTAGTTGTGTCCTTGGAGCTACCACGGAATCATGGTGCGCCGTGGCCTTCCTATAGTAACTTCATCAGAAAGACTGACTGTCTTGTTTGCTATGAATCCAGCTTGATTGATTGCATCTTGTTTCCTTCTTAACTTTCAATCTCTATCCCTTTCCACACACTGTTCCCACCAAGGTAAGCTCCTTACAGCTCTACCCTGGCCTCTAGCTTTACCAAAACATTTTCTTAGCTTGGAAACATTTTTGCTCCCCTGGGTTAAACTATAATCAGCTAATTGTCTCTGAAGCACAACTCAAGAGAGACTTTCTTTTGGATTATCTCTAGCAGGTAAGCTGACTTTGCAGAGAACAAAGATAAGGTCAGTAGGTCTAGCACACTCAGTTTCTCTTTGCGATAGTCAGAGTTTGTCTTCCCTACTGGACTATAAGTTGTTTCATTTGCCCTTATTTGAGAAGTGAAGTCCAATACCTTCACTTGGCAAATGTGTGAAAGATATTTGCCCAACAATGCAAAAGTGAATAACTAAAAATCAAAATGAACAAGAGGAGATAAATTATAATGGACTAAAGATTAATAGTGACCATTACAAAGTAAGTTTTACAAGAGGAGATTATGAATGTACCTGCAAAGATTAGAGGCAGGTATGTCTGAGTCTGTCCCTGGGAGCTTTGCTAGTTTGCTTCAATAGCAGAATCAGTGATGGGACTCACCAGAAGATGAGGGAAGATAGGACAGAGGTGATGAGGTAGAAGGAAGAAAATGGCAAGTAGAAATTAAATGCACAAAACAGCAGGTGAAGAACATAGCCAACATAGATCCTAAAGATGATAGGAAGTGATTTTCTCTGCAGAAATATAAGCAATACCAATCGTCAAGGTTGACATTTATCGACCACTTACAAAGTGCCAGACATTGTACATAGATTACTACATTTAAGTATCACTAAGACTCTGTTAATGAGAAATTAATATTTTCCTCTATTTTATGAGAAAACCTGAGGGCAGAGAGTTAAAGCAACAGGCTTGTGACAGTAAGTGGTGGAGCTGGGATGTGTACTTGGAGCTCAGGTACTGAGCTGAACTTCGGACTAGAGACTGGGTGTAAAGTCACCTAACAGAAGCAACAAGCATGAGAGAGAACGCTGGGTGGGGGAAGCACTCCTCAGAGGATCCTACGGTTGGAGATGAGTAGCTGAGTGTGCCCAGAGGTATGTACAAGGGTGTGCATTAAGTGCTGTTTAAAAACTGAAAATAATAAATTTTTATCAGTAGGAGTTTGGGTCTGTGATTTTTTTTTTGGTGTGGCTGGCTCAGCCCACCTTGGGGGGTGGGGCTGACACAGCATGTGGTGCTGGGGATTGAACCACAGTCCCTGAGCTTGCCTAAGCAGACACTTTAGACCGCTGATCTATCTTGCCGGCCCAGGTATACAATATTTTGATGAAGCTTTCTAATGATGTACAATGTAGCCAATGAGAAGAAGGTTTCTGCCTAGTCACAGGAAAAACTAAAAATGTAGGTCACAGAGCAGTATACCAAATGTGGTGTCATGGTCCCATTGAAATGGATTGTATGTATGTATAAATACAGACTCTTTTTTAAAAAAAAATGTATTTGGTATAGGGTCTCACAATTCAGCTCAGATTTGTAGTGATCCTTCTGTTTTCAGCCTCTCCAGATCCCATTATTGGTTCAGGGCGCCCAGGGGCAGGGCCAGCGCAGCAGGCAGTACCGCGGATCAAACCCGAGTTTCTGTGCTTGCCTAAGCAGGTGCTCAGTCCACTGACCTAGCTCTCAGCCCTTAAATACAGACTCTTAAAGCCTACACAACCTATGCTTAGGAATTGTTTCCTGGGATTAAAGAGGAGAAGTAACAACATTTCTTCTCTCTATTGTCTGTATGTTGTAGATTATTTGATTAGATTTTTTTTAAAAAGTCAGATGGATACATTTATTTTAGGGTCTTCAGAAAAAAATGTGTGCAATTGCAAAATGGTAAATTCCGACATAGATAACAGTCACAATATTCACCTGCAATATATAAATGTAACTTTATTTTATTTATTTATTTATTTATTTATTTATTTACTTATTTATTTATTTATTTATTTGGTGGAACCAGGGATTGAACTCAGGCCCTTGCGCTTGCCAGGGAAGCACTTATTCCTCTGAGCCATCTCCCCACCCCCCCCCCCTTTTTTTGGTAACTTTAAAATGATACATACACATGCATGAGATTTTTCTTTATGACAATCAAACCTTTGTCTAAAGCCTTCAAACAGAATGCAACTAAAGTGAGAAGATCCCTGGTTCTGTGAAGGAGATCAGCTTTTACACCTGGGTTGAAGCCTGGGCCTGGGAAAGGTGAGCCTGCCGCATGAGGGACGTGTTTCCTATGTGAGTAACCTGGAGGTATGAGATGAGCTCTGGGGGCACAAGCCTTGCGGGACGCGGTCATAGGCCACACGCAGTCATGATGATAGGAATGCGATTATGGTGTTTGTTGTAACATCAGATAGATGGCTGAGAAGTGGTGGAAAGCTTTAGTGTGTTCCAGCCCTAGGAAGGCAACGGATGCCTCAGAAGCATTTGTGGCGCTCTTCTGGGGCCTATGGTTGTGTAGAGTATTTGTGATGGCCACTGATAAACTGGTTTTTCATGTTATTATTGGTTCAAAGTGTCAGTAAGACAGTTGGGTGGTTCTTAGATTTGATTCATAAGAACGATAGAATAAGATCGTGGGGAGCATCCCAACGAACTCATCACAGAAGCTGCTTCCCAACTGAGCCCCCAGTTGGGTTCTCAGAATAAATTCTTCACTGTGTGTGGAGGGGAGAGAGCGCCTAACTGCGCAGCCGTACGTCACTCTGAGCACTCTTAGCAGCGGTGTGCAGGTCTAACATTTCCAGAAACACCATTCTTGATTTTTTTTTTCCTCTACCAACTGAGCTAGCCGGGCCCATTCTTGATTTTTATTCACCACAATTAGCCAACCTTTTGTGTGTGTGTGTGTGTGTGTGTGCATGTGTGTATATGTGTGGGTGTGTGTGTATTGGCTCTCACATCAGTAACGCACAGGGAATCATTCATTCCGGAAACACGACAGCATAGTTTTGTTTTCCGCATGGGTGGTGGAGTGATGTCTTCCCTACCTGGCTTGGAAATGCTCCTGGCCGGTGTCCATCCCGAGGTCTGTAGTTTTATGCTGTCTTCCGAGCCTGCTGGTCACTGTACAGTCCAAGGCAGGTGACTCTCCTTCACCTGGGCTTCTCTGGCTGAGAGACCGTCATTTCTGCTGCATCTCATCCGATATTACCTGCAGACAGGAGAAGGCTCATCCACCTCTGGTGATGCTGAGATCCATATCTGCTGTCATTCTTTCAGATGGAATGTTGCGAAAGGTGACTGTCCTGGGTCCCCTAGGGGTGAGGGTGGCCCATTGCGTGGGAAGGAAGAAGCCGAAAGAGATCACTTGAGGAACAGCTGGATCTTTGCTTCTTTGTGATGGTTTCCACCTATCCTTGAAGAAAGGCGCGCTGGAAGAAGCAAAGTCCTGTCGCAGCTGTGTGTGAATGTGTGTGCCGTAAACACGACCTGAGACTGTGGTCCCGCTCTGGAAGACGGAGGCACTCTGAGGCATTAAAGCTGCAGGTATTTTTTGTACCTCCCTGAAAGAAAGAGACAGCAGCTACTGGGTCAGTGTTGACTGCGCTTGAAGATTTACATACTGGGTGCTGTGGTTTCCGGCTCAGCAGTCACCAGTCGAGCCCTTCAAGCTGTGCTTTTGAGCCCCTGGCCTCCTCCATTCTCCTCTGACATGCTGTGCGTTGTTGCTTTGGCTGTCTTAGTTTTCTCTCCAGGTTGATGTGAGCTGGCATATATGCCTTGGACAGGCAGCTGGGCTAGAACGTGGGTGGGCGTGTGGTGGGTGAAGTGGGCTGGCTCGGAGGTGCTGAGTGCGAGCCCACGGAGTCATTATATGGGCGGTGTCTGTTGTAATTTGCCTTTTATTTATTTATTTATTTATTTATTTATTTATTTTTTTTAGTAAGCATCTACAAGGTCTTACTACATAGATCAGACTCTAGTGATCTGCCTGTTCACAGCCTCCCAGGAGTGGGGATTACAGGTGTGTGCCACCATGCCCAAGCTCTATTGTCACCTCAGCACATGCCCCGGGGGCGGGGCCGGCATGGCATATGTGTGTGTGTCTTCTGAAGGTTGTGGGTTGATTATACTGGGAAAACTTCGTTATTAGTATGGGGATCTTGTTAGTTTGCGTTAGGGTTTTAGTGATGCAGGCTGGGCCTGGCTGGCTCTGGGCCTTTACCTCTGATGCAGGATCAAATCAGCTCTGTCAATTTGGGGTGCATTATAATTTCTGTCGCACCCAGTT